ATTTTAATCTATCAATCTTATATTTATTAATAATCTATTGAGAATAAGTATAGATGTATTAGTTAATACATCGTATCCATGATGTTTGAAAGGCATAGCGTAAAATATGGATGGGTAGTCTGCAATCGCTCCGGAATATACTGCATGCAATGTTTGTTCAGAATATGGAATAAAAAAGAATGAAACTTACAAAGAGTTTAGAAAAGCAAAGAAATTAAAAGAGTTGCAAAAAAGAGTTACAAAAGCGAGAAAGGCAAGTGGAGAAGGCGAATATAAATTAATAAAATATGACAGATGTCATCACCACACATGATATGAAGCCACAATGTGTCGTGCTCATATTTGGCATCTCAGCCAAGCAATACTTATTTTGAAATCCATACGAATGGCACGCGCAAGACATGCTGGGAAGTGCTCATCTAATAAGAAGTGTATACGCTGAATATTTTGTTTAAGGGCAAGGGTCAATGATGCGTCCCACTATCAACGAGGAGTCCGACTGTCTACGGAAAACATTTGCATCGCCGAAGGTGTGAGCTGAGTACCGCAGGCACGAGTTTTTCCTGCATTCTGAAAACACATTTAAAAAAAAATCTCAGCTTCTGAAAATGTCAACATGAAATTTTTCTTCGCTATCTGGAAAATATATGGTAGCCATCACTGGCCGCGCGCTTGTCCCATTTCTTTGCAATCCAGGCAATGTGACGTCAAACTATCTGCGAAAGGTCTATTAGCATGATCATAAGATTTCTTTGTAATAATGATAACATTTTTTAACAACTCCGATGAAGGTGTGACAAGAATATATTAATGTACTCTGAGGGAAAGCGTAGCTTCCTCCGCGCAGGCATCTCACTGAGAAATCTGGTGGTGGGAAAAACTTACGTGAGATGCCTGCCATAAATCGGCACAAAAATTTGCACTGCGCATACCAGCTGGCGCATGCAAATATCGACAAACTCAAACTTAGGGGAACTTTGAATGGAACTTTGAATAAGGAGTTGAGAACATTATCGTGACCCGAGACAGCGATTTACTGTATTATTTAAAGATAACGAATGACTTTCCAGAGCAGTCAATTCACGTTGCCGTCGACGCATGTCAAGACATGGTTTTAAGTGAAAGTTTATTGTTGATATATACACATTTCTACTCTAATATCTATGGGCGTCCGAAGCGGACAAAATTATGAACGCATAAACAATAAACCAATACACGTACTAAATATTTGAACACTCGCACTAAACATTTGAACACTCACACTAAACATTTGAACACTCACACTAAACATTCGAACACTCGAACACTCGCACTAAACATTCGAACACTCGCAATGAATATTCCAAAACTCACACTAAACATTCGAACACTCGCATGAATTTCGAACTGGCATTCCACAAATTCCACAATGCACACACACAATATTCGAAGTGTCGCACACAATATTCGAAGTGTCGCACACAATATTCGAAGTGTCGCACACAAAACATTCGAAAAAATCTCGTTAATTTATGCAGCTGTTTACATCTTTTTTCTAATTTATGCGACGGTTAATATATACATACGGGGGGGGGAAACTCTGTTTACGCGGGAAAGCTGGGGAATATACACTGGAAATATACAACCAAGATGGCGGTTCGCTGGTTGCCTGATACACAAAATTCCTTCGAAACTGCGGAGGCAACATTGGTACGAGCAAGGTAACAGTTACGCATTTGTGATGTTGAGTCTTCGCAGTATTGGATCACCAAATTAGAAACGTTGGAAAAGTCATTTAGTTTGCTTTTAGCACGAATAATTCAGGCTTATCCGGAAAGACGAAGACTACAATTGCAAGTAATATCATTGCTAAAGATTTTGCTTGGCATTACGGCACTACATGTCTCCGATCAGGATGCTCTAGACCAGCAAAACGTACAAATGAATCACCTTGTTCGACATACTGGAGAGGTTGGTCGGCCTCGATAATCTCGGTTTTCAATGGGCTGATATTGCACAATGTTTAGGTGTTTGCATATTTTTCATGTAATTCACTGATATTACTTTTATTTTGAAAATAAAATTTTTTGTTCAATAAAACATTTCCAATTTTGGCCCTTTGTGTTGGAGGATTAGACGACTTTAGTCAGGTCTGCCTGCCTCAGGGTGTGGGGAAATAGTTAAGTATGGATATATTAAAAATCTTATGTCCCCACATTTCCCCCAGGTTGGGGGGACGGGGATTACAATTGATAGGTACATCACTGTAAATGCTATATATAAACTTACCATAAAGAATTAGTAGATTTTACGTTATAGGTTCGCTATGTTATAAACTGTGTTTGGCGAACAGTACAAGCAAGAGGATTTACTCCGTTAATAGATCCTCTAATCCTTTCTCATCGTACTTTCAAGCCCCTTGATCGGAGAGCCCCTTGCACCAAACTCAATCCTATTCAGGGAGTTGTTTACAAAACATCCCTAACATGGCCGTCAAGGCGTTCATTAGATAAGTTAGCATAATTTCCCTGCGTCGATAACAAACCAAGTTCGTACCTTCTTCTATTAAGTGTTCTCTCGGAAACACCTAAACACCGAGCAATGCGGTTCCATATCGAGGCGAACAAGGTGATTCATTTGTACGTTTTGCTGGTCTAGAGCATCCTGATTGGAGACCTGTAGTGCCGTAATGCCAAGCTGAATTTTTAGAAATGATTATCACTTGCAATAAATTGCCAACTAGTTCGTGTAGTCTTCGTCTTTCCGGACATTAAAGCCTGCATTATTCGTGCTAGAAGCAAACTAAATGACTTTTCCAACGTTTCTAATTTGGTGATCCAATACTGCGAAGACTCAACATCACAGATGCGTAACTGTTAACTTGCTCGTACCAACGTTGCCTCCGCAGATTCGAAGGAATTTTGTGTATCAGGTAACCAGCGCACCGCCATCTTGGTTGTATATTTCCAGTGTATATTTCCCGATATTTCCCAGCTTTCCCGCGTAAACAGAGTTTCCCTCCCCCCCGTATCTATAAATTAACCGTCGCATAAATTAGAAAAAATATGTAAACAGCTGCATAAATTAACGAGATTTTGTCGAATGTTGTGTGTGCGACACTTCAAATATTGTGTGCGACACTTCGAATATTGTGTGTGTGCATTGTGGAATTTGTGGAATGCCAGTTCGAAATTTATGCGAGTGTTCGAATGCTTAGTGTGAGCATAGTTAATGTATACTGACCGGGTTTGGAAGGCCGGCAAACTTCAAAGCAACACGTGACCAAATGGGATATCATGTTACAAAGTACGTCACGTGACAGCTTATAGTGCATTCCAGCTGCAGTTCATAGTAGAAACGTATACAAATTAGAGGGATTTTTGTCGAAAATTGTTATTTACTCGTTACATACGATGTCTATGGAGTCAAGCGTTATTGAGCACATGGAGATGGACGAGGACGATTCTTTTGCGTTTTGTGAAGGCGATGGGGCTTTTCATTCGGCTTTTGAAGACGATTTTGAGCAAACTCTTGCTATGCTTGATATGGACGTCGAGGAAGTGATGATCGAGGTTGAAAATTCTCATGAAGAGGTGAGTTAAAATATCAAAAACAAAGTAAGCCATGCCTTTTCAATAACCGAACTTATAATCAAACTTAAATCTTCATCTCTAGGTCGAAGGAAATAAGCAATTCCCTTGCGAGTTTTGCGAGAAAATTTGCAAGTCGAAGGGTGGTCGAACCAAGCATCAACGAAGTAAACACGAATTGGGAGAAAGTTCAACTTCGTCTTCTACCAGAGACGTCGTAATTACGATGGATAAAACGAGGGATA